TGTTCCCAAGCCAGAGCACTCCATGGAGTTCGTGGATTAAAGAGAAGTTTTTTAATCCATTGTATTGAGAGTGTTATGACTTGGGTGACCGAATCTATGATGTCCAACCCTCCTTTAGACTTAAATTGGATTATAGCAGACCAGATAACCCTACTAATGACATTTTTGCAATCATGATTACCCCTCCATAAAAATGCCCTGAGTTGTTGTTGGAGGTATTTGATGGATGGGTTATCTAGTGCCCATATGTCGGATTTATACCATGTGGATGCTAGAATAGCATTGTTAATGGCTAACGATCGACCTATAATTGAAGTACGTTTGTCTTTCCACATATTTAATTTAGTTTGTGCACATTGAATAATCTACTCATTATTGGTTTTGGGTTTTTCTTCTACTGATAGAAAAATGTCGATAATTCTAATTTGTGTACTATTGGTTACCCAATTTATGCGAGATAATTCTGGTGCTCTTCCTCCCTGATGATGAATCCACCATCCTAAGGTCTTATTTCCCCAATGAACTTTCATATCAGATAATCTGCAAAATTGAATCATGCGTATGTGAATTGCTTCCATATTTCCTACAAAGGCATCCACCGTTAGAGATCATCATCAACAAAGGAACATATCGAAATTACCTCCTATGGGATAAATAATATCTTTTTTTTTTTTTTTTTTTTTTTGTATGTCCTTATGACACCTAATGTTTGCAGCTAGAAGTGCTTCCATCATAATGATAAAAAGAAAAGGAGCAAGGGGGTCCCCTTGGCGAACGGATCTCTGTAAATTTATGGGAGGGGCCACATTACCATTTATCATGACCCTAGTAGTAGCCCTATTATGCATGATTTCAACCCATCTCCTAAAGCATGGTCCAAAGTTCATTTTTTCAAGGCATTTGTCTAGAAAGAGTCGGTCAACATGATCATAGGCTTTTTCGAAATCAATGAAAATTAATGCTGCATTATGTTTGGAATGACGAGTAATTTTAACGAGTCTATTTATCGGCAGTATATTATCTTAGATGTTTCTGTCTATGATAAACCCTGATTGCGCCGGATGAATGATGTCGACAATGACATTCAACATTCTGTATGCTAGTGCTTTAGCTAATAGTTTATATACTACCGTGAAAAGAGTGGTGGGTCTATAATTTTTAATGTTGGATTTTTCTCCTTTCTTGTAGAGTAGAGTGAGTACACCTTGACTAACAATCTCCCCCATTTGACCTTGAATTTCATACTGACTGATAGTAATCCGTTAGATCCTGAGATAAGGATTCCCACATTGTTTTCCAAAATTATTTAGGAAGGTCATCCATACCTAGTGTTTTTTCTTCCTCCATTAGCATTAAGGTCTTCCATATTTCCTATTTTGTTAGTGTTTTTTCTAACTCCTTTCGTTAAATATCTGTTATACATCTTTTAAGGGGTAGTAAAAATTCAGCTATTCAGTTAGTCTGTGGGTTTCAGGAGTTTAAGTGTTATGAGATGTGAATAGATCTTTGTAGAAATTCGTGGCTATTTTGGTACAGGCTGTCGTAGAAGTAGCTAGGGGTTCATTTATTTTAAAGGGATCAATCAGTGCATCGATTGTTAATTTTCCAGTCCTCACACTAGCCATGGCAAAAAATCTGTTATCCATAGCCCCCTCCATTTGGTGTTTTCTAAGCTTACCCATAATTTTGAAGCCTTGCCATCTGTACTCCATATGTTTGAGTAATTTTTTTTCCAAATTATGAATTTCATATGCTAGAGTAGGGTTTGTTGCTCTTCCTGATTAGTTACTCTTTCTTAAAGATCATATATACGTTTATGTAGATCTGTTTCCTGAAGACGTCTTTGTTTAGCCAAAACTTTGAAATATTCAATGCATTTACGGCCCAAAAAAACTAGACCGATGTTGAACCAATTAATATCATTGTTAATATTGAATCTTTGTTTTTTCCAAAAATCCCAGTCATTTTTTATGTAGTGTTTAAAACTCATATTTTTTAGGTGAGATGTGTCGTGTTTGTAGTATCATTTCCCTTGGTCCGACTTTTTTTCTGAAGGCGAATACTGCCATCCCCATAGCATGGTCCAAACCCGGGGGGGGGCTGCACGAAAGGATGCTAGCGAACTGTAGAGCTCCTTGTATTTCTTCTAATACTAGAATAAGGTAAATTCTGGATTTTGTGATTTTATTTGATTGATTTTTCCTGATACAAGAAAAGGACCTAGCTGATGGGTTAAGTCTCCTGAAGGAGTAAAAAAGAGAGGACGTATGACATAAGTTGGATATTATTTGCTCATCAGTTCCTATATAAGTTGAACACGGGGAGGGGATTGATAATCGATCTAGATTGCGATCCAGTGCTGCATTGAAGTCACCTACCATGATGAGGGGGATTCCTTCAGGGAGTCGTGGGAGAATGCTCCCAAAAATAATCCCCCTACTGTAAAAGACTTGTCGATCGCCAGGATCATTGGGGCCATACACAATCAGTATACTGACTACTTTCAATTCCAGCGTGGCCAAAATGTAAACCCATTTCCCCTCCTGTTGATCTGCCTCCCAATTAAGCACCTCAATGTTGGATTCTGGCGGAATCCAAATGGTGATTCCTGCACTCCCTGGTTTGGGATCATGTGCTCTATACGCCGTATGGGGCCATATTTCTTTACGGCTATGGTTATGGGATGGTGTGTCCATTAAACGTGTTTCCTGAATGCAGATTACGTCCAGCCATACCTTTCCCCCTACTCCTTTGAGCTGCTCTAGTATGGCTTGCCGTTTGTTTTTCTTTGCTGAGGCAAGACAATTGACATTAAGACTTCTTATATCGAGGTCCGCATTTCTCTTAAGGAGCTTCCAACTTTTGTCCTTATTGTACAACAAGTCTATCAAATTCACTACATCGCTTCTTTCCTCCGTATTCTATAATCCCGTTCCACTGGCTTGACCGATCATCAGCTGGATTTACAGATTCTTCCACAATGATCTGTCAAGAATCCCTCCTTTCTAAAGGGCAGTCTTCTGCAACAATCTAAGGAGCAGGGTGATTACATCATCCTCAGACCAAAAATGAGTAGCCTTTATTTTGAGAATTTGCAGATCTCTTTATGTTTCCACTCCCATCCATCTCAAGTTAACTGGGTCAGTAGCCTTGTATCTCAAATATACATCCCAGTCCACAATCTGCTCTCGTTCTGAGATGAGAGTGAGTGTGGCCCAACCTCCCGAGGGGAAATGGTCTTTAATAAACCTAGATGAGGCCAGGTTAAATAAGGTTTCGCCTGCTTTTTCCTTTTGTAATATTGAGGAGGGTCAAAAGTTCTCAAAACTGACGATGATGTTCCGTGAATGGTAATCCCCCCATACTGCGAGTCTCTTACTTCCGAGAGACCTGCCTCCCAATGTCCTTCCTTCAACCAGGTCATCCTCTCTTCCTCCTCCTCTTCCTTGAAAAAGAAGAGGAGGCCTTAAATCTGACAGAGAGGAAAACAATTCCAGCTTTTGAAAGAGGAAGAGAGGAAGAGAGGATGATTCTAATTTAGTTCTCAATTTCTGTCTCTTACTTGTGGACTCGATCAGAACAGGCCTCCCTTGGGGAGGGCCAGAAGGCTGCAGGATGTCCTTAGCAAGGTCAACCCCATCTACCTCGAAGTCTATTCTGAGGTTCTCTTCTTCCCCCACCCCCCCTTTGTTGTTTAACATCCTCCTCTTTTCCTTGGGATTGAGGCTGAGAACTGCGGTCCCATTCAATCAGAGAGATCTCATAACGACTTGGTTGGCATTTTTAAAAGACCCTGAAAAAATCCTGAAAGTTTAGGGCTCTGTTAACGGGTTCTCCAAGAATGATATAAATTATTAAATCGAGAAATATTCCAATTTGAAAATGATAAGAAAAATTGCTTAACTTCTTTTTGGGGGACCTTTTTGTTTTGTTTTTTTTTGTAGGACGTTTTGTTTTGTTTTTTTGGGGGGAACTTTTGTTTTGTTTTTTGTGGGACCTTTTTGTTTTGTTTTTTTGTGGGACCTTTTTGTCTTTTTCGTTTGTCAAATGGCGACTGCCTTTAGATATCATCATTGGATTCACTGCCCCCCGCATACTCACACAATCACTTTCCTGAATGTATCTGACCACAATTAGGGCCTGGCTTGGATGCATCCCGCAATCACGTCAAGAGCGCAGTAAAGAAAGTGCTCGTGTGAGTAATGCCCTCAGCTCTGGACGCAATTGACCGCAACGCACGATAACAAATGCGGCTAAGAGCATATGCACACTGGGACTTTTTGGACTCAGCTGTGGACGCAATTGTGGTCAGATACACTTATAGTAGACGCAATGACCACAATAACAGATGCGGCTGAGGGCATACTCGCACTGGAAGTCAGCTGTGGACACAGTCGTTGTCAGATACCCTGTAGTAGGTGCAATGACTTCAATTACAAATGCGGCTCACGCTGGGACTTTTCGGACAGCTGGAGACTACCTGAAGTACCCAGTCCTACCCGGTGAGACCTCAAAAGAGAACTTAAACCACCAGTACCTTTCCCATACATCGGCCGAGGGCAGTCTCGGTGTCCAGAAACGAAAAACGGTCCGCCGAGTCGATTGCTCGTCGGCAGCCATTTTGCTGAGATGCGCCGGGTAACGCGGGGGCCAAGCGGGGGAGGGCTGCCGACGAGCAATCGACTCGGCGGACCGTTTTTAGTTTCTGGACACCGAGACTGCCCGCGGCCGATGTATGGGAAAGGTACTGCCTATAACAACTTCAGATGCAGCAACACATAACGACGGGGCCCCTGTCGATAAATTGGATCGGCGGCCCGTTTTTCGTTTCTGGCCTCCGAGACTGCCAGCGGCTGACGTATGGGAAAGGTGTTATACCTATAACAAGTTCAGATGCAACTACCAACCACAATCCGACCATAGCAATGCATAACGACTACCAACCACAATTCGATGATCAGCGTGATGAGATAATCACGCCGATCTACACCCCAGATCAGCTCTGTTTCCTCCTTTCATTCTCTCGTTCGCTGGTGCGCAGCGAACACTTCGTTGACGAAACCCTTAGCCCGAACTCCCAGCCACAGATCGCTCTCATCCCACGGCCTTCCGCAAAATCTCCAACCTACTTTGGCGCCCAGCTTGCCCCCACGGCTGATGCGTGAGAAGGGTGAGATAACCAAATTTCCTCTTTCTCTAGGTACACAACAATACAATATATATTATATATTATATATTATATTCTTTGAAATTTTGAATTTCAAAGAATATAGAAGTCAGGAATGAATGCCCTGCACGCATAATAGCATATAGCTGGACAAAAGGGAAATGTAAGCAGAGGATGTGAATGCAGCTGGAACCAGTCCGACCCGTAAATAACTCAACCTAGACCAGGAAGGGGCCTAAGTAGAAAGACAAACTGAGACAGTTTGTGAATTTACAAAGAAGACTGACTAAACGTCTCAGTTTGTGAATTTACAAAGAAGACTGACTAAACAAGTCTAAGACTGATTTAGACTGATCCATTTCCAGACCTTCAGAGTTGCACGAAGTCCAAGCTATCTCTCCTGTAGACTGATTAGATTGTATTGAACTAACCTGACTACCCTGACTACGACAACAGTGGAATCAGCTTGGCAAACGTCAAAGAACAAGTGGAAACACTTTGACAAAACTCAAAGAACAATCTACAATACATAACCTCTTTTCCTTATCTACTTCCCCCAAACAGGTGGAACCAATCACTGGACTGCTAATCTCTCTCTCTCTCTCTCTCTCTCTCTCTCTCTCTCTCTCTCTCTCTCTCTCTCTCTCTCTCTCTCTCTCTC